CTCCCAATCAGGCTTACTTGCAGCGTGGGAGGGACGGGCACGTAGGCATGCGGAGGGTAGGTCTGTGCCGTGGCAGAAGCAAGGTGGGCTGAGAGGGAAGCGGCGAGAGCACGAGCAAAGCCGATGGCGAGAAGAAAGGCGGAGGAGTCTGCTGGGCTGAAGAGGGAGGCAGGGGCGAAATCGGGTGAGGCTTGAGGGCAGGACAAATAGGATGAGTGAGCGGTTAGGTGTGGTAGGAGACTCGAAAGAGGACGAACATCAGATAGACTAACACCACACTGTCGACACACTGGTATAAGCACTGGGCTAAACAAACCTGCCCCTTCTCTTTCGGAACAACACCTTATTGCTGTTGTATCCTCTCCCAGCTAAAGTACCGTACCATGCTGCTAACATGCGGACTTTCGACACGTCTCAACGTACTCTCCCCACTGCCAGTACCGAGCAAACAGGAGGTTGTCCCTTGCAACCTGTTTGCCCGGTACTGGTAGTGGGGAGAGTACTTTGAGACAGCAATATCCACACTACCAGTGCCATGCGAACAGCACAGCAGTTTGCTAATTGCAGCTCATACCTTGCAAACATGAGGATCCAGCGAGTGCCGTCTGGTGTGACCATGTGCACTCGCACGTCAGTCTGGGGCTGTGAGGCGGAGTGAGGAGGGGTGGGGGGGTAACGGGGATAAGGGGAAAAGGAAGAATAAGCGAGCAGCGAGTGCTGTCTGGTGTGATCATGTGCACACCAGACACTGTGTGTCTGGTGTCTGCGATTCGGAGTGAGGGGGGTGGGGAAGAGGGAGGGAAGTTGTTATAACCGTCATATCAATACCATCTAAAAAACCCCATTGTTTTGTTTGACCACCGGACGGAATGAGAAGGGTTTTTCTCTCACCTGGCACCAGAAGGAGGTGGTGACGGCAGCGTGCAACAGCTCACGTGCATCCGCCAAGGAGGTGGGTTGGTGGAGCAAAGGGAGAAAAGGCCGCAAAGAGGGCAAAGAGAGAAAAGGCCGCAAAGAGGGCAAAGAGAGAAAAGGCCGCAAAGAGGGCAAAGAGAGAAAAGGCCGCAAAGAGGGCAAAGAGAGAAAAGGCCGCAAAGAGGGCAAAGAGAGAAAAGGCCGCAAAGAGGGCAAAGAGAGAAAAGGCCGCAAAGAGGGCAAAGAGAGAAAAGGCCGCAAAGAGGGCAAAGAGAGAAAAGGCCGCAAAGAGGGCAAAGAGAGAAAAGGCCGCAAAGAGGGCAAAGAGAGAAAAGGCCGCAAAGAGGGCAAAGAGAGAAAAGGCCGCAAAGAGGGCAAAGAGAGAAAAGGCCGCAAAGAGGGCAAAGAGAGAAAAGGCCGCAAAGAGGGCAAAGAGAGAAAAGGCCGCAAAGAGGGCAAAGAGAGAAAAAAGCCGCAAAGAGGGCAAAGAGATAAACAATCACCTGGCACCAGAAGGAGGTGGTGACGGCAGCGTGCAGCAACACCCGCCCATCCGCAACACAGCGCAACTCTAGTCTCTGCAGCTGACCAGGACCGTGTGCCACCAGAGCAGCATGCACGCCGTCAAACACCAGCTCCTCCTCCCTCGCCGCTCCGTCCGGACCTGCGGGGGTGGTTCAGGGAGAGGGGGAGTGGGAGAAGGATGTGTGCCGCCAGCACAGCACCAGGCGTTGCAGCTGACCCGTGCCGTGCCGTGCCGTGTGCCACCAGAGCAGCATGCACGCCGTCGAACACCAGCTCCGCCTCCCTTGCTGCTCCGTCCGGACCTGCATGTGAGTGAAAGTTAGCCCGAGAGAGAGAACGTGCTGAGTCGCTTAGAAAGGCGCACCCCAGGAGAGCAGCATTCACAGCATCGAACACCAGCTCCTCCTCCCTCGCTGCTCCATCCGGACCTGCATGTGGGGGTCAGCCGACAGGAGGAAGGAAGGAAGAGGGAACGGAGCATATTGAGACACCTAGAGCACCGCGTGCCACCAGAGCAGCATGCACGGTGTCAAATCAAACACCAGCTCCTCCTCCCTCGCTGCTCCATCCGGACCTGGGAGGGATAACGGTCGGGGAAGTGCAAGGTGCAGCGTGGGTCACTTAAAGCCATGTGCTACCAGCACAGCACCAGGGCCGTGTGTACCAGAGCAGCTGCACACCGTCCAACACCAGCTCCTCCTCCCTCGCCGCTCCATCTGGACCTGTGTAGCGGGGTTAGCAGGACGGAGAAAGGGAGAGGGAGGAGCACGTTGAGTCACTTGGAGAGTGGCATGTGCTAGCTAACACCATAGCATCCGGGCCGTGTGCCACCAGAGCAGCATCCACAGCGTCAAACACCAGCTCCTCCTCCCTCGCCCCGCCGTGCGGGCCTGCATGTGGGGTTCAGCCAGAGAGAGAGGGATGGGTACAAGGAACATGCTGAGACACTTAGAGAGTACCGTGTGCCACCAGAGCAGCATGCACGGCGACAAACATCAGCAGCCAGCTCCTCATCTCTCGCCAAGAGTAGCATGCGGAATCTGGGAGCGCCAAGAGGGGTGAGAGGAATTTTGAAGAGCCTCAGAAGCAATCCGACCTAGGAGGGTTAAGAGCGGGGAGAGGACTTTAGAGGAGCCTCAAAGGCGGGCCGGACCTGGGCGGGATGAGCGGGGAGAGAGGGGACGCGCATGGGACGGGGGTGGCATAGAGGAGTAAGGGAGGGAGGGCAGGGGAGGAAGGCGCAGGGGAGTGGGGCGCAGGGCCAGGAGGCGAAGGTAGTATCGAGAAAGAGATGAGACGGCTTCCGAGCCACCCCAAACGCCACGAGGTGACTTTTAAGTCGACTCAAAGGGCCGGGAGGCGAAGGTTGTATAGAGAAAGAGATGAGGCGGCTTCCCAGCCACCCCAGACGCCGCGAAGAGGAGAGGAGAAGAAGAGGGGGAAGGGGGAGGGGTGGAGGGGAAGGGGAGCAGAAGGGGAAGGGGGGAGGGGACCGTAACGAAGGAGTGCAGAGAGGCTTTGATGGGGCCAAGTGAGGGGAAAGGAGAGGCCGGCATGCAGGGGGGTCGAATACTGTTGTGTGGGGACACGAGGACGGGTGGAGGGAGAGCGAGATTTCTCGCTTGGAGCAAGTTGCTGAAAGGAGTTGTTGGAGTACACGAGTTTGAAGTAGTGTTTTGAGACGTCTCAAAACAATACTTCAAACACGAAAAGCTGTTGGAGTACACGAGAATCAGAGCTAGGCGATCTCAGAAACCATGGAAAAACGGGAAATCTCAGAAATGCGATTCGGGACTTCGAGTATGCGTTGTAGGGAGTGTGCGGATTGTGGGAGGAAGACAGGATGAGAAGCCATGTCTAGACGCCGTGTTAACTCTTTCGAAGCTCGTTTCAGCCTCGCAGGCAGTCGCACCTGCGATCACTCGTCGCACGACGACTTGGGCGATCGCGACGGAGAAGGCGACGCTCGGCGAATTGAGAGAGTCTTGACCGTTCCGCCATGGATCTCCGCCACGTTCTACCGTTTCCGCCATGGATTTCTCGTTCAAACTACGGGCATGAATCAGTTGACAGCGACGGAGCCAGCAATTATGAAGGAATGAGAGTCACGACGCCGAGTGGATCATAGAGTCGGATCAATTGACTGATCTGGATGTATCGTAATTTGTCGGTTGTACGCTATATTGGCATCTCACTAATATACACTTCGACATTCGCTTGTTCTGCTGGCAGCTGGTTTCCGTCTATGTTTCACCTTGTTGGGCATGCTTCTTTAGAGTTTAGCTAACCCTAGCGTTTCATGATAACAAAACTCCCTGAGTGAAGAATCTTGCACATTATCCTCATTATTATGTTGGATGAATGTTCAGGTCCCGATACCGTGTACCGAGCTCCAGCCGTCGTGCAGCTTTCTTCGCACGGGGGAAAAGGCCAGGTCAGCGAAGGGAACGCCTTTCTTTGGTCCAATCTGCGATAACCTTGGGAGCGGGTGAGGCGAAAAGCTGGATCATGTGCCGTCAAGAGCATGTTCAACCAAACGTTCTTCTGTTCACGGTTTGGTGAGTTTGTAAATCGTTACGCTAGTCACCCGGTTTCGAGGGGTGTTGAGCGGAGGAGAACTCCAGAACACAGCGCGGCGGAGTTTGTGCATTCTCCTCCACTGCCCAAAATCGAAAATTTCACTCGAGAAGAGAACATCCGATGTTCGGCCTTCCCGCTGTCCCACAGCGGGGCACTCTTCGCGCACGCGATTCTTTTGAACTGTTTTCATTCCCTCCCTGCCCGTTCGAATGCAGTTCCCCTCGTAACGCGTACGTTTAGACGATTGAATCGCGGCCGCCCATGGCCTGACTGCTTTTGCCTGCTCCCTCGCCTTCCAACCCCCCCACTCCCTCCTACCCTCGGTGACGTCACCTTCCTTCTGCTACATCGTCTTGATCGTCTTCATACGCTGAATTTAGGTTTTGTGGAGACCAGTGATCCTTATCTCAGCATCATCTGATCCGAGCCGAGACTGCTATTGCTGCTTCGCGGTTCGTGTCTGCACCATTCACTTCGCCGCCAGCTCGAGCCCGTCCCTCAGGCCACTTGCTTTCGCCCAGCGTCACGTCTTCGTTGTCGGATGCACCCTTTTCGCTAGCACCACTCTTAGACATGCTCAGCTTCCAGCGGTGCTTGTCGGAGATCCGATGGTTCCATTCGTAGTGTAAACCTTGACAACGCGACAGCTTCCGTTTTACAAGCTGCCAAACTGTTCAACCTTCCTCGCACCCTATCGCGTGGCAGGCACGAATGCCAGATATAGGTTTAATTGTCGGAATCTAGACCAGGCGGGAGTATAATCATCGAACGTAGAGCATTTAGTGTTTCGGCGTTGTCCGTATATAGCCGCACATCAACGTCACCAATCCAAGATTCCTCCTTTTATCTCGTACAACATCCCTACCCAACAACTAGTACTCCTCCACAGACCCCTTAGCTCGCCTCCGTAGGGTTGCTACTCTGTTGCCTTATTCTGCCGTTTCTGTTCCTCACGCAATTTCCCCTTCTCCCCCGCGGCCATGGCGCACGCGTTGAGTACTAATCAAACCGCAGCGCTCACGTCGGAAGCCGTCGGTAGTTTTCCGCACCGCCGAACACCATCGATCACCACCCCCTCTCTCTCCTCCTCCTTCCTTCCCGCGTTCTGCTCCAAATCCTTGGCTCCAGTCACCTTGCGACGGTCACAACAACACCTTTCTCCAGCCATCCGCTCGTCTCTCACTAATGGCGCCGCTCGTCGCGCGGGGTCTATGGACGAGTCCAGCCCGTTCGCGCCCTTCTTCCAGCACGTTTTCCAATCGGACGTCTCCACCCGTCCGATGATGATCCCCGATGCGTTCGAAACCGTTCCGAACGTCCAGGACGAGCTTTGGTACACGATCCGCGAAGAGGCTCGGCAGGATTCTGAGGCTGAACCTGCGTTGGCTTCGTACCTCTACTCCACGGTGCTAGCGCACCGTTCTCTGGAGCGATCCATGGCGTTTCACCTGGCGAATAAGCTTCAATCGCCGACTCTTCTTAGCACGCAGCTCTGCTCGCTCTTCACCGACGTGATGCTTCGATCGCCGGAAGTTCAGGAGGCGCTGCGCGCCGATCTGCGAGCCATCTACACGCGCGACCCCGCGTGCCGGAGCTACTCCCACGCGATGCTGAATTTCAAGGGTTACCAGGCTCTGCAGGCGCATCGGATCGCGCATCGGCTGTGGCTGGAGGGCCGTCAGGGATTGGCCGTGGCGCTTCAAAGCCGCGTGTCGGAGGTGTTCCACGTGGATATTCATCCGGCTGCGAGGATTGGGAATGGAGTGTTGTTTGATCACGCGACGGGGCTGGTGGTTGGCGAAACGGCGACGATTGGTAACAATGTTTCGATTCTGCATCATGTGACGCTGGGAGGGACGGGGAAGAGCACGGGCGACAGGCATCCCAAGGTCGGCGACGGCGTCCTGATTGGCGCTGGTGCGACGCTGCTTGGACCAATCAGGATTGGGGAGGGAGCGAAAGTAGGAGCAGGGTCGGTGGTGCTGCTGGATGTGCCGCCGCGTGCGACGGTTGTGGGAATCCCAGGGAGGCTGGTTGGCGGGAAAGAGAAGCCTGCTATGTCAACGGTCAACCCTAGTGAGACTATGGACCATACCTCGTTCATTCTGGATTACACCATCTGAGATCTGGAAAGTCCCTGGCTTGGGACTTGATAGCTCCTTGGAGCTTGCTGCTGCTGGCTGTGAGGTATAGGGTGGGAATTGGACATTTGTGATTATAGGGTTTGGTTGGGGTGGCAGGGAAAGGCTGGCAGCCTCAATTGGCAATATGTCAGTTATGTCATTCCTGTGCGACCATATTTTGGTTGGTCGTATTGTATCTCTTTGTGCTGTTATGCTGAGCAGTACTTGGGTTTGGGAGCTCCCCTAAGCTTGTGTATTTCCAATTATAACAAGGGTTCAATTCAAATTAAACATTATCTTGTCGTGTAGTCTTACAAACTCCAAGCAAGGATGTGGTGTGGTGGACCTTTGGCCGTGCTGATGGCTGGTTCATGAGAAGCTGGGTCCAGAAACTAGCAACAGGTTATTGTTCAAGCGATAGTAGTCACGTGCAAATCTAGTTTCAACAATACTAGTTACCATTCCGGGTTTCGCCATATGGCGGAAATCGCCGTTCGTGGCTCATGCCTTGATGACTGGTAGGAATTCCAATTTCAGCCGCATGTTCAGTCGCTCTTCGCTGCAGCCGAGCACTACAAAACTGTCCGATCCTTCGGCGCTCTCATCTATGGTTGCCAGCTTGTCTGCGCGACGTTCTAGTTATTGCGAGTACGCTGTACTACGAAGGTTAGGTCCGAGCTCACGACCACCGAATTCGTAGCAGATGCTTTAGCGGCCTGTTTCAGTGAGCAGGACACTGAGTCGAATCTGTAAGTCTGGGCCTCTCGAGACTGCTTCAACAGGCAGTAGCGCATCTACCGAGAAGAGAAACCCGTATGCCTCGCGGAATCTGACGATTAGATCGAGAAAGGGAGAAAATCCTTGTTGTGTCTCACTTACGTCGCCCTTTTCGTTCGTTCATTTCTCAGCGTCAGAATCGCTAGGCGACATGATTAAGGCCGTGCTGATTATCAACAATCAAGGGAAGGCTCGTTTTGCACGCTTCTACGCGAACATCGTAAGCCTTTCGCGAACGTCGTAGGGCTGTCGCAAACCCCGTCATCAGAGCCTTGCCATGCTGTTATCATTAACCAAAAATCTAATTCTGCGTTCTCCATAGTGTTATCTCTATCAAGCGTGTGCTCGATTCGTGCTTTACCCTGCAGAGCGGAGAGAGGCAGCAGCATATAATCCGGCACTCGTTTGAAGGTCAGTTTTGCAACTTCTTTCTTGTAACAGAAACCATTCTGACACCGGCAATAGCATCAGGCGCAGTCCTTCTTTTCCTGTGTGACTGATTGAGACGATCATTCACGTAATGCGAAGAAACACGAGCTCTGCAGTCATGCAGCTTATGTACAAAGCGCGGACAGGTGGGCTGCGGAGGCCCACCTTATGTTCAACATGCAGCTTATGTTTTAAGTGGGCTAGATCTCTCTCGTCCACTCGCTCTTTTTTTGTTCTCGCCCGTCATTTCTCCGTCGTATAACCTCACTCGTTCAATCTACCTGCTTTAATCCTACTCGTCTGATCTCCCACGTCTCTTCTGTACCCCAGCTGTGGCCTCTCGCCCGCCCACGTGGTCAAATATCATTGAGGACTCAAGCTGGTTCGGCAAGGTGAGCGCGGCTGGAAGCAGGTTCGGCAAGGTGAGAGCGGCTGGAAGCAGGTTCGGCAAGGTGAGAGTGGCTCCAGCAGGTTCGGCAAGGGGAGAGTGTCGGCAGGTTCGGCTAATGAGAGTAGCTGAAGCAGGTCCGGCAAGGTGACACCGCCTCTGTGTCGTGCTCTCATTATCCCCCTTTCCATGCGGTGCAACAGAACATCAAGCTGGTGTACCGCACATTCGCCACACTCTACTTCATCTCCCTCATTGACCGAGCCGAGGGCAATCTGGCTGCTGAGAGTGCTTCTGCCGCTGCCCTCTCAGTCGTGCTCTCATCATCCTCTTCACCCCCCCATCCATCTGTATCGCAGAACATCAAGCTGGTGTACCGCACGTTCGCCACGCTCTACTTCATCTTCCTCATCGACCGAGCCGAGAACGAGCTCGCTGTGCTGGACCTCATTCACGGTAAGCCTGTGGGACACCCTGGCTCCTCTCAACCACCCAGGCTCCGCTTGGCCACCCGGGCCCCTTGTTTGTAGGTGCTTCAAAAGGATAGCTGAGAAGGAGAGCTCTCATGGAGCTCTCTCGGGCCTCATTCATGGTAAGGCTCTTGACTAAGTTCACGGCAATGCTTCTGTCTTTCGATTATTACCAAAATCATCTTCATGGCTCAACCATCGAGATTGCAACTTCAGATTCATGAGGTTCTGGAGCCTGACAAGTTAAAGAAACTATTTAATGAGGACGTGCTCAGTCAGCTGGCAGCTCAGGGGTCTTCAGCCGTCATCAGTGTCTCCTTTCTGCCAGTGTTTCATCCAGGCCTGCTGCTGACACACCTTCCCTCAATGGTGTCACTGATCCTCCATCCGTCACGCTTGGCAACCTGCAAGAGGTTAGTCATCAGGAAGCAATGGTGTCAATACAATGGTCAACAATGACAATGCTGCGGCTGGTGGATCTGGTCTATCCGTGGACGACAAGGCTAAGTTGTCGACGGCACTGACTGATGCTGACGGCTTCATCGACGATGACTCTGACGACGAAATGTTGGTGGATCAGGACAAGGAGGCTATGACTGGGTTGCGCTCCACTGCTATTCTGCTGCATCCTTTTGCCCTTGAAAAATAAGTCGCCTGTGTTATTGATCCGATAAAAATGCTGATGAGACGTGGGTGGTACACAGAGTTATCAGAAGACGTGTCGTCGACGGCGAAGTTCCAAGTGCTGCAGCTTGCTTACATTGCCAAGACCCGTTACTGCCGGCTGCAAGTCTCCTTCCCTCTGGAATCTAATGCTGTCTGGGTGAGGAGAAAGGAGGTGGTTTACAAGTGTCTCAACGGCAACCTAGTCAAGCTCCATTAACAGCACACTGAGGACTCTGCTTGCGCACGTGAAAAGGTGTTGAGCTTGCACGCAATCTAAGTTGTGCTCAAGGGAGTCCCCGCAGCAGTGGTGACTTACCATCTTAAGAACCACCAGCAGTCGGCCTTCTTGCGTTGCTCATGCCTTCACCGCGTGCTTCATCTAGTGACTGGTGCTGACACGGATGTGGTCAAAAATCTCATCTACGCTCGCTTAGGTGATCTTCACCGCTGGATTCATGCTCTCTAATCCGGCCGATCGCGCGAAAGAAGATTCTGTTCATTACCCTGCGTTATTCTGCTCGCCTTGCGTAGGTCAGCATTATGATAGGTATCATGATGTTTTCGCCACTGAGCGTCAGCATAGCGTAGGAAAATGGAATATGACTCTGGAAGGCCATAAACCTAACGGTAATGACAGCTTACTGGTTGATCTCACCTGTCAGCTCTTACCGTTTTCTTCACGTACTAACTTGACGCTTGATCCTCGCAGCTGCGTCCCTGAAAGCCTCTCCGCTGGTCCTCCCCTTCTCCGGGATCCGGCTCTGGTCGTTATCTCGACCGGCAGCAACAGGGAAGAATGGCTCTGCACGCAAGCAGGTTGCAGAAAGGCGCATGGGAAGAGCTTCATGACAGCTGCAAATCACATTGCTGCGGCTACTCACTTGATTCATCTGGAGAAGTTGGGTACTGCCACCAAGCAGTTTTTCGAAAAGTTGAGCCTCAACGTCATCAAGAAGGAGTACGGGATCCGATGCACCTCAGCAAGAAGTTTGCAACGACAGCTAGATGAAGTTTAGTAGTCAGCCTTGACAGTGTTGTATCTTTTCTCAGCTTGTGGATGATAAGGGGCTGCAAGTCAGTGGATGAAGGATTCTTAAAAACCACCTCACCAAAGACATTCGTCACTGTGGATAAGTGACGGCTGTCTTTGAGGTGGTTTTTTTTTTTGATTCTTTTATTCACTGACTTGCAGCCCCTGATCATCCACAGGCTGAGAAAAAATAAAACACTGTCAAGGCTGACTACTGAACAACATCTAGCTGCAGTTGCGAGCTTCTTGCTGAGGTGCATCAGATCACGTACTCCTTCCGGATGACGTTGAGGCTCAACTTTTCGAGCGACTGCTTGGTGGCAGTACTTAACTTCTCCAGATGAATTAAGTGAGTAGCCGCAGCAATGTGATTTGCAGCCGTCATGAAGCTCTTCCCGTGCGCCTTTCCGCAGCCTTCTTGCGTGCAGAGCAATTTTTCCTTGTTGCTACCGGTCGAAATAAGGGTCAGAGCTGGATTTCGGAGAAGGGGGAGGACCAGCGGAGATGCTTTCTGGGACAAAGCTGTGAAGATTAAGCGTCAGGTTAGTACAGTTGATAGGTGAGATCAACCAGTAAGATGTCATTACCGTTGAGTTTGTAAACCTTCCAGAGTCATATTCTATTTTTCTATGTTATGCTGTCGCTCAGTGATGAAAACATCATGATACTTATCATAATGTTGACCCACGCAGAGCGAGCAGGATAGCGCAGGGTAATGAACAAGAATCCTCTACTCGCAATCGGCCGGATCAGAGACAGCATGAATCCAGCGGTGAAGATCACCCGGGTGACCGTAGAAGAGACATTTGATCACATCCGTGTCAGCACCGGTCACTACATGAAGCACGTGCTCCACCACATACTCACTTAGCTCTTGCTTCCTTGTCCCATTCTTTCTCTTCCCTCCCCACTCCATTCCACTCGACTCCTTTCCACTCTTCCATTTCTTTAGCTTTTTATCCCTCCCTTGCCATCGGTCAAGTTTATTCAGAAGTCTGTTAGTGTTGGTTTCGACATCCCACTCAGAAACACCAAGTTGTTGTTTGCTTGTTTGTTTGATTGATTTTTCTTTTCAGGCATTTTGGGTTTGAATTTTATCATTACATTTAAAAACACACTTGCCATCCCTCTTCCCTTACTTCAGGCCAATGCTTTTTTTAGACTTTAATTTTCTGGTACAAAAAGTCGTTCAATCTTATGCACCCCCCTCCCTCTCCCACCCTCCTGTATTTTTTCTCGGAATCTCCTATCTGTAGTATTTGTGGAGTCGTTGGATCGCTGTTACAAGAACGTGTGTGAGCTGGACATAGTCTTCAATTTCACCAAGGTACCATCTCAGCATAATACCGCTACCTTGTGAGTCGACTGAAATGTTGGATCGCTGCTACAAGAACGTGTGTGATCTGGCGGAACATAGTCTTCAATTTCACCAAGGTAGGATATGAGTTTGATACCACCACCTCCTTTTGTTTGTGGAGTCGCTGATCGCTGCTACAAGAATGTGGTAGTTGGATATAGTCTTCAATCTTACCAATTTAGGTATCATCTGAGCAAGATACCGTTTTTTTACCCTTGCAATCACAACTTCGCAACTTGCTGCTCTTGCATAATAGCAATACAATAATGGGACCGTGTAACAGACAATCATTCTGTAATATCGTATGTGTACAACTAACCCTTTTCGGTAACCAATCACTCTCTCTAGACCCTTGTACAGTGGCGTTTTCTTAGGTAGTCAGTCGTTATGCCTATAAGTGACTCTTCTGCTAGTCGTTCACTACTGCGCAGTGCCTCGTTTTTCCTCCTCTTTGTTCCTCCTGTTCTTCTGAGTCTTCTTCTTCTTCTGCCATTGGAGATCTTCTCTTTCATCTGCATTTGCTTTTGAAGGTTCTTGTTCTTGGACTCGAGTCTGGGTTGTGCATCCAGTTGTTCCCCTTTTCACCAGTCCCTAGCTGTCCCTCCCATATGTGCGCAGGTGCATCAGATTGTGAAGGAGATTGTGATTGGAGGTCAGCTGGTCAGTCACAAGAAGGGATGATGGTCAATCCAGACTGAAGACTTTGGATCTTGAATCCCTTCCGCTGTTGCATGCAGGTGCATCAGATTTTGAACGAGATTGTGATCGGAGGGCAGGTGCTAGAGGTGACAGTGGATGAAGTGCATCGAGCCGTGCAGGAGATAGAGAGGTGAGGGAAGGGGGTGGAGGGGAGAGGAAGTGCTGACAAGAGATGATCCTGATTAGAGGGCAGGTACTAGAGGTGACAGTGGATGAGGTGCATCGAGCGGTGCAGGAGATAGAGAGGTGGGTGAGGGGGTTGGAGGGGAGAGGAAGGAAGTGCTTCTGACAAGAGGCGATTGTGATTAGAGGGCAGGTGCTAGAGGTGACAGTGGATGAAGTGCATCGAGCAGTGCAAGAGATAGAGAGGTGGGTGTGAAATGAAGGGGAGCTAGAGATTTGGGGTTGAGGGGATCTGGAGTGTGTGTCTATGGTGGTGGGATACGGGCATTTTCAGGTGCGGCACAGATGCTAGAGGGTGACAGTGGATGAAGTGCATCGAGCGGTGCAGGAGATAGAGAGGTGAGTGGGGGAGTATGGAGTGAGGCGTGACATGACATGAGGCGCTTTATAGGGATTGACATGACCTCACATGGATGCTAGAGGGGACAGCAGATGAGGTTCATCGAGCGGTGCAAGAGACAGAGAGGTGAGGGCGAGATGAAGGGGAGTGCAAGGGGAGATGGAGAGGTGATGGAGAGAAAACTGTGAATGCGAGTGGCCGACCGGTTAGCAGCACTCACGAGAGAAAGCTGAAAGGAAGGATGGGTTGTTTGGCTTGGAGAGGGGTTGATGAGGTGTGCGGTGCATGTGCGTTGGTTTTTTCCTTCATTTATTTCTTTCTTCTTCTCCCTCCTCCCCATCACTCCAATCGCTCTAACTCCCCTCCTTCCTCTCGCTCCGCCTCTCCTCTCCATCTCCCATCAGGCGTCAAGTTGGTGGACATCTGTCTCGAGTCGCAGGTCGTGCGCATGTTGGGGAGTGCCACGCTAGCCCCGCCCTCCCCCCTCACTCTCCTCGTTCCCGCTCACCCCCTCTCTCTTCTCCCACCAGGAGTCAAGCTGGTGGACATCAGTCTCGAGTCGCAGGTGGTGCGCGTGGTGAGTTGGCTGTGCTGCCATTGTCCCCTCCCTCCCGCCACTCACCCCCTCTCTCTTCTCCCACCAGGCGTCAAGCTGGTGGACATCAGTCTCGAGTCGCAGGTGGTGCGCGTGTTGGGGAGTGCCACGCTGGCCCAGCTGGAGGAGGCACAAGAGCGGCCGCAAGGCGCGGCTGATCGGCCAGGGCGACCCATCTCGTGAGTGAAGCAGGTTATATTGAGTCACTTCTGATAATACTCAAAAGCGAGTCACTTCTGCCACGCTAGCCCAGCTGGAGTGTCACTGCAGGCAAAGACACGCTAGCCCAGCTGGAGTGTCACTGCAGGCAAAGACACGCTAGCCCAGCTGGAGGAGGCGCTGAAGAAGAGCGGCCGCAAGGCGCGGCTGATCGGCCAAGGGGATCCCTCCCGTGAGTGATTGTACACTGTGCAGGCGTAAAGACATATGTGTGTGAGTGACGGGGGCATGTCGTTGGGGAGTGAGTGCCACGCTAGCCCAGCTGGAGGAGGCACTGAAGAAGAGCGGCCGCAAGGCCCGTCTGATCGGCCAGGGGGACCCCTCGCGTGAGTGAAGCAAGGTTTAGGATTTAGAGGCGAGTCAAATGCACTCTAGCCCAGCTGGAGGAGGCACTGAAGAAGAGCGGCCGCAAGGCACGGCTCATTGGGCAGGGGGCCTCCTCTCATGAGTCAATATAGAGGCATAAATGCTTGAGGTCTTTAAGGTGTAGGTGTGGTGTGGAGGTGTGGAGAGCTGTTGCGCGAGTGATATATCACCAGGCCATGTTGAAAAAGCTCTAGCGCAGCTTAAGAAAGAAGTGCAGAAGCAAGGCCCGGCTCATCGGCCAGGGGGACCCGTCTCGTGAGTCAATATACATGCATGAAGGCATACCCCTCTTATCACAAGAGTCTTGTGAGTGATTGTGAAGGGCATGGGTGTGCATGTGTGTGGAGGAGAGCTATTGCGCGAGCGGTTCACTTCACAGAGGGCCACATCATTGGGTAGTGAGTGCCACGTTAGAGCGTATGTTTTTTGAGAATTCTAAAAAGACATACACATCATTGGGTAGTGAGTGCCACGTTAGCCCAGTTGGAGGAGAGGATGCACTGAAGAAGAGTGGCAGGGAGGCCTGGCTTATTACGAACGACGACCCCTCGCATTGAGTTTTTTTTTTTTTTTTTTTACACTCTATTGGGAGATGAAGACTTCAGTGCACTGTAGCAAGGAGAATGTGATTCGATTCAAAAGCCTACTGAGAGGTTATTCGACTGCATTGCACCGCACTGCACTGCACTGCACTGCACTGAGAGCCCATTGAGTTGGTAAAGATTTCATGTTCCTCTTGCTGTTCCATGCCGATTCGGCAGGACACTCGTTCTGTTTCTCATTGTTCACTGTACCTGCTCTCCTCTCGTTCCATCTTGGGACCTCGTTCTGCAGTGCAATGACGATGTATCGTCTCCTGCTCTTTCAACCAGGTCGTCCCTCACCTCCCCAACCCACTCTTCCTTCTTCTCTTCTTTCCCCTCTTCCTCCTTCCTCTTCTCTTTCTGTCCGTCTGTTACTGCTACCCAGAACTGGCTCCCACAACAGCAATGGCAGGGCTAAGCGAAAATAACCATCTTAAGAATTCTCGCTCATAAGTGCCTTGGGTCGGTCCCATCTTATCTTCTCCTCGTCCTCTCTCCCTTTCTTCCCACTTGTACTCTTTTCCATTCATCCGCCTCTCCCTGTTACAACAGAGCTGGCTCTCACAGCAGCAGTGGCGGAGTTCAAGGGGCCGGTGATCCACGGTGTAGTGCGGTTCGCTCAGGTGAGACGGGTTCCGTCTTCTAGCCAGGCTGTCTGAGCCAGCTGAGAGCCTGAGACACTGAGCCGTGTTGGGGGGGCTATCTTTGATGAAGGCCAAGGTTGTCTTGACCAAGGTGAGGCCATGCATGTATGCTACGGGACATGTATGCTACGGGACATGTATGCTATGGGACTAACTGGGTAGCTTGACTTGACCGAACACTCAGTGATATGATATGCGTTTCGTGTGCGGAGGAGCATTGCAGCGTTGCATTCTGAGGGGAAAATTATTGCTGTGGCAGACCCACGTAGTACTGTACTGTACTATCTCCATACTAATAACGCTGCCACCTATTTCTTCCCAGGTGAGCATGGAGGAGGTGAGGGTGGAATCAAGTTTGATGGTCTCTCCCCCTCCACCGCCCATGCATGGGCTGTCAACGAGTACGGGGACCTCACCCGACCCGAGTGTCACCATTGCATGTACCATTGCCATCTCTCCCCCTCTCCCTCCTTCCACTCCCCCCCCCCCACGCCCGTCTTTTTCCTCCCAGGTGAGCATGGAGGAGGTGCGGGTGGAAGCACAGTTTGACGGCCTCTCCCCCTCCACCGCCCATGCGTGGGCTGTCAACGAGTACGGGGACCTCACCAGGGGAGCCGACAGCACTGGCCGGTGCTACCCGGGGGAGGCGTCATCTGCTGCTGCTGCTGCTGCTGCTGCTGATGGGGTACGTGCAGCAACAACATAGGGAGCTCAGTCAGCTCGTTGTTGAGGATCTTATCTGTAGACTTGAGGGCAGTGGCTGGTGATTTTTGAGGCACCTCAAAACCGTTGTTGGGGATCTTATCTGTAGACTTGAGGGCACCGGCAGGTGCTACCCAGGGGAGGCGTCATCTGCCACTGATGGGGTACGTACGTGCAGCAGAACAGGTAGCTCACCTCGTTATTGGGGACCTCACCCGCGGACCTGACAGCACCTGCAGGTGCTACATTTGGGCGTGGGGGGGAGGAGGGGGGGGGAGGTGGGTGGGAGGGAGGAGGGGGGGGGGTGTTGTCATCCAACACCGCGAGCGGGATACACCAACACGTGCTTCAAGCTGTGGGACCTCATAGGCCGGGTCGTGGTGTCCTGTTCCTTCCCGTTCCCCCCCTTCCATCCCTCCCCCCCTTCACAGCCCGCTGGCGATTTGGGAGTGATACAGGCAGAGGACAAGGGCCATGCCTCCTATGATATGCAGCTCCCAGCACATGCCTCAAGGTGTGGGACGTCATAGGGCAGGCCGTGGCTCACACCCCTCTCCTCTCCTCATCCTCCCCGTCTTTCCCTCCCCTTCACAGCCCGCAGGTGACTTGGGTGTCCTGCAAGCAGACGACAAGGGCCATGCATCCTATGCAGCGCCCAGCACGCACCTCAAGGTGTGGGACCTCATCGGCCGGGCCGTGGGCCACGTCACAAACTCATGCATCGCTCCTCTCCTCTCCCCCCCTTTTCGTCCCTCCCTTTGTTTCAGCCCGCGGGTGACTTGGGCGTTCTGAACACAGACGACAAGGGCCATGCCTCATATGCAACCCCCAGCACGCGCCTCAAGGTGTGGGACCTCATAGGCCGGGTCACCCGTGGTCCTGCCCCTCTCCTCTCTCCCCGGCTCATCCTTGTTCTCCCCTCCCCTCTCTCTACTCTCCCCTCCTTTCCCCACCATCCCTTCACAGCCTGCAGGCGACCTGGGAGTTCTGAACGCGGACGACAAGGGCCATGCATCCTATGCAGCCCCCAGCACGCGCCTCAAGGTGTGGGACCTCATAGGCCGGGCCGTGGCGGTGTATGACGGGGCTGACAGGAGCAACAGCAAGGGGCTGGCAGCAGCTGTGATCGCACGCAGTGCAGGTGTGGGGCAGAACTACAAGTCGCTGTGCTCCTGTGATGGCACCATCATCTGGGAGGCCACTCCCAGTGACTATGTGCAGCAGAAGTAGGTGTAGGTGTGAGTATGGTGTGAGTGAGGGGGAAGAGATGGGCTGGCGGCAGCGGTGATTGCGCGCAGTGCAGGTGTGGGGCAGAATTACAAGTCGCTGTGCTCCTGTGATGGCACCATCATCTGGGAGGCCACTCCTAGTGACTATGTGCAGCAGAAGTAAATTGATGGCGGTGAGAGGACTTTCTAGGCGCCCAAGAACCAAGTGGGAAGGAACTTGGGAAGTCGCGCGTAGTGTGCAGCTACTGCAACCTGTGTTGTATTAGTAGCAGCGTGGTGCAGTAGTAGTTGTGAAGGCAGTGTGCAGATGTACCATATACCGCAGGACACTGTAAAACATCGGATTATCCTAAGCTTCTGCTGCGGCGTGAGATGTGATGTGATGTGATGTGATCATGTCAGTCGAGGGGGCATTTCCTCCCTGGCTTTCTGCAACAAGAATGGATGTCCTGTGGGGTGTTGACTATCATGCCTTGATTCCATACCTTGCAGCCAAGGTTTCATTTGCAAGCATCCTTCGATGATAGAAGAAACAGCAGTTCATATCTCCATTGCACCTTTCAATGTCATAGCTTGTCAGATGAGCCTACCCCACTCCCACCTTCCCCATCTCTCCCCCCCATGAGTGGCGATTCCTCTTCCCTTATCCCACTACCGCCCCCCCCAGACAATCTGTTCTTCAAAACTCTGAACAAGGACCCTGAGGAAGGGCTAATCAGGTCCCTAGAGGGCGGGGTGATTGCAACTCCGAGCTTTTCCTGATCCTTGCCCCCACTCGCACTGCCCCCCATTTCTACACCCGCATTGGAGGAATGGGAGTGGGTAGAAGCTGAGGTGGGGGTGGTGTTGCTGCTAGGGTTTGTTGTGGCCAAAAGGTTACTGCTGCTGCTGCTGCTGTTGCCGCTGGTTCCGATGGTGCTACTGCTGGCGTTGGAAGCTGATTGGCTGGCGGCTGCTGCTCTTGTGACTGCGTACCAGCTCTTGTAGTATAGAGCACCGAACACCACCACCTGATGAAGGGGTGTGGGGGGGAGTGCACAGATGTAGGGTGTAGTTGCAGAGTGTGATTAAGTCATTCTTGTAGTAGAGAGCACCGAAGACCACCACCTGGTGAAGGGTGGTGAAAGGGGGGAGTGGAATGGGCATATTGGAGACGTCTCCAAACTGCTGCTGCTCTGGTCTGAAGGGTCGTGTGGGGGAGGGGGGAGGGAAAGGGAGCGGAATGGGCAGATAGAGGGCGTTATTAGGATTCTCACGAGCTGTCTTGCAGTAGAGCACACGGTGGAGGGTGCTGAGGTGGGGGAAGGATTTCATGGTAGATGCAGGAGAACTATGGACGACACTTTTGTGATAGAGAGCACTGGACACCGCTACGAGAGAGTGCAGTGGCAGATGCAGGAGGGTGCTTTTGATGATTCAGAATCACATGCTTGCGGGGGAGTGCACTGAAGACGGCTATTTGGCAAAGGTTGGTGCAGTGGGGAGAGCAGTGGCTGAGGGCAGAGATAAGAGAGGAAGAAAGAGAAGCGGGGGGTTCTGGAGGAAAGGGGAGACCCGCAAGATAGCATATGGAAAGGTGATGGAACTGGGATGATGACAAATGCTGTAAGCTTGAAACGGCCAGGGACAACGGAGTTGGGTGAGTCGAATATCTAATTGACAAGGTGACAGAGTAACTCTTGGGTGAGCACTTACTGTGCCGACTTGTTGTGTGGAGGAGAGGGGCGGTCCGTAGACGGTAGATGATAGTACGATACTGAGAAGCTGGTGGTGGGGATGGATGGAGAGGAAAGAAGGAGCATGGAATGAGAAGAAGGGGGAATGAACAAGAGAAAGAGATATGGATTAGGAGTGTAAGGCATGAGATGCGCAGAAGGATATGATAAGGTCTCCCTTTCTTCAGCATGTTAAGACTTGCACAAAGGGAACATGCCAACTGAAGAGGTGGAATGGAAGGAGTAACTTGGGAATGTCTTGAGAAGATAACGGACTAAGGCAATGGGACATGACATGGAGCAAGCATACGTGCACAGATGCACAGATGCACAACCACAACATGCAGACTGCAATAGCACAACATGCGCTCACCATGCACACAATGCACGCACAACACATGCACACAACACGCATGCGGAGAGCACACACCTGGCGCATGGTCATGATGGTGCACACATGCACAAACACACACGTACAACATGCAGACAGGAAGCACACAACACACCCCTGGCGTGTGGTCATGATGGTGGCAAAGATGAGAGCACCAATCGTCTTGATGGTGCATGCATGCACAAACACACGGGTACAACATGCCCCAGACAGCAAGCACGCACTCAAGGACACAACACACGCAAAGCAGCCACACAGCACACACCTGGCGAGTGGTCATGACGGTGGCGAAGGTGAGAGCACCAAAGGTCTTGATGGTGTAGGATATGAAGAACTGGCTTATGGTGGCCGCCTGGTGGGGTTACAGGGGGAGAGGTTTAGTGGAGGTAAGTGGAGGAAGAGATGTTTATTGAAGGCTGCTGCGTTAATGATGGGTGCGGTGCAGGAGAAGAGTACAGAGTTACCTGGTTGATGGCTGCGTGGATGGGAAGAAGAGAGAAATCAAGTGGAGACGTGCATTTTTTACCGAGGGAGTCGCTTAGGACACACCACCGATGACAAATCACAAGTTAAGGTGTGCCAGTTTTTATGAAGGACCGGATTGAGACATATGACTGATCCGGGATAATGAAACAAGAAGCAAACCACTGACTGTAATGAATGCAAGAAATACCTTAAAATCAATGATAATAGAGAGAACCAACGAAAGGCGTACCACAGAGAGCACTGCAATGTGGAGCGCACAGTCGGGATGGCGCATGATGAATGCAATGGCCGCTGATAGGTCCTGACGCAGGCCTGGTGGTGGGTGGGGGGGGATGGAGGGGGGGATACACAATGTAAGGGAACACGACACGGTGAAGGAGCAGCACAACTGGATGGTGCACGATGAATGCGATGGCCGCTGCTAGGCGTAGGCCTGGTGGGGGGTGAGAGAAGCAGAGAGAACGGTGAGCATGGAGGGTGAGACGCATGGCCACAGAGAGCACTGCGATGTGGAGGGCACAGTTGGGATGGCGCATGATGAATGCGATTGCTGCTGATACGTCCTGGCGCAGACCTGGTGGGGGCAGGCAAGAAGGCATGGCGCATGGCAAGGCAGCATGGCCATAGAATAATACAACATGATGGTGCACGATGAATGCAATGGCTGCTGATAGGTCCTGGCGCAGGCCTGATGGAGGGTGAGGGAGGCAGAGCAGTGAGCAGTAGGGTGAGGCACAGCACATGATGATACAGCATGAAGGCAGGCAGCAGAGCACCATGGTGACATATGACTAACAGCACGACGAATGGCATGGCTGCTGCTACATCCTGGTGCAGGCCTGGTGAGGGGCAGCCGGGAGGGCATGGCGTATGGCAAGGCAAGCACAGCATCACAACTGGAGGACACAGCACGATTAATGCGATAGCCGCTGCTTGGTGGTGGGGGCGAGAGCGGCAGAGCAGTGAGTAGGAGGGAGAGGAGAGGCATACGATGATACAGCATGAAGGCAGCTCAGCACAACACGGTGACACATGAATGAATGATGAATGCGATGCCCACTGTAGAGCACCTGGTTGGCCACTGTAGCACACCTGGTTGGCCACTGTAGCACACCTGGTTGGCCACTGTAGCACACCTGGTTGGCCACTGTAGCACACCTGATTGGCCACTGTAGCACACCTGGTTGGCCACTGTAGCACACCTGATTGGCCACTGTAGCACACCTGGTTGGCCACTGTAGCGCACCTGGTTGGCCACTGTAGCAAACCTGGTTGGCCACTGTAGCGCACCTGGTTGGCCACTGTAGCACACCTGGTTGGCCACTGTAGCACACCTGGTTGGCCACTGTAGCACACCTGATTGGCCACTGTAGCACACCTGGTTGGCCACTGTAGCACACCTGGTTGGCCACTGTAGCGCACCTGGTTGGCCACTGTAGCGCACCTGGTTGGCCACTGTAGCACACCTGGTTGGCCACTGTAGCACATGGGCGTTTGGTTAAGGCATTGCGGCTTACCCGGCAGGCTGATGCCAGAGGAACAGAGCATGATGTAGAGTGAATGCAGTGAAGCACCTGGTTGGCTGCAAAGGGTGACTCACCGTGACATAATGACAGCAGAGACTCACCGAGCAGGCTGATGACAGACGAGCAGAGTGTGATGTAGAGCACCTGGTTGGCTGATTGATTGATAGCACATGGATTGCTTGCTGCAGTCACAGTGCCTTACCCCCTGTGCGGTTATGCCACTCACCCAGCAGGCTGATGATGGAGGAGCAGAGCGTGATGTAGAACACCTGGTTGGCTGATTGATAGCACAAAAGTTACTTGCTGCAGTCAAAGTGTCCTTAACACCCCCTGTGGTTATCGCACTCACCCAGAAGGCTGATGACAGAGGAGCAGAGCGTGATGTAGAGCACCTGGTTGGCGGCCGGCATGTCATAGCCCTCAAACAGCTTGTCCTGAAACGTGTTGGTGAAGCCGTCAAAGCTGGGGAGGGGGGGATCGAGAGATAGGCAGAGAGGACAGACAAAGGGGAGGAAGAGGAGAGACGGAGAAGGTAGGCATGTCAGAGCCGTCCAGTTTTATTTGGAATGAGTTGGTTAACGGCCAAAGCTGATTGCGGGATTTGCAAGGCACTCAAAGATGGATGGGAGGAAACGAAAGGGAGCAGGGGGGAAGGGGGAAATGACGCATAGAGATCCCATACATTCTCTGCCTTACTCACCTCAGACATCCCACTCATGCACCGTTTTGCCCCAGACATCCATCCTATGCACCACCTTACCCCAGTCCAGGTATCCCTCACGCTCTGCCTTACCCCACATATCCCTCATATGCTCTGCCTTGCATTACCCCAGATATCCGAGCATGAGCAGGAGGCCGGAGAACGTGCTCTTGACACTTGTGCGTGCAGTCTTGACACCTTGACCCGGGGCATTGTGCACGCCAGGGACGCACGGGGACGAGAGTGCACCGAGTGCGGGAAGGCGAGGGTGGAGGGGCGACATAGAGGGGGCGAAGGAGAGGGAGGGGATTCGGAAGATGGGGAGCAGGGGGACGTAGGAAAAGATGGGAGCAAGGGAGGACGGGGAGGGGAAGAAAGGGGAGATGGAAGGGTCACACGCTGAGGGAGACTGTGTGCAAGCTTCTCAGCTGGCAAACGCCGTGACTCTGAGAATAAGAGGCTTGAAAAAAAAGCAGTGATGAAGGGTCACTTTTCCAAAGTAGTGACTTCGCTGGAGATGAGCAGGAAGTCAAGGGGGCTTGGAAATGAGAGCGGTGGCTGGCAAGGTGAGTGAATGTGTCAAGGGTGCGTAAGGAACAAGGTAAAAGGAAACGACAGAAGAGATAGCAAGGGTGACAGGTGAAATGGACGAAAAAAAACACGCAGCAAGAGGGGACAACAAGAAGAGATGTTAAAAAGGGGCCGAGAAAAGGGAGCGGAGACACACCACGTTGAGGAAGAAGAGGCAGGAGCCGAGGATGATGGTGATGGCGATGATGTACTCTCTGGGCTTGTACTGCTTGCGCGATATGATCGTGCCCCAGATCTGCAGCAGCATGGTTGGCATGGTTGCAGTAGCATGGTACAGGAGAGTACAGGAGAGAGTGTTTGAGGATGATGGTGATGGCAATGATGTATTCTCTGGGCTTGTACTGCTTGCGCGATATGAGCGTGCCCCAAATCTGCAGCAGCAGCATGATTGTTCGCACATGAGTGTTCCTTTATGCCCAGTTACATTACATCACGAGTTCACACTACGTCTCAAGATTACAATACACCTCGAGTATACACTACATCTTGTGCTATGGATAAACTCACAAACAGCAAGCTCTGGTGCTTCATATATGAGTATGCATCAGCTCAGCACACATGGATCAGCTGTATGGCTGACTCCTTGTTGAATTGAAGCACGGGGCGTACCAGCACTGGCAGGCGCCATGCAATGCAATGTGGTATGATTAGATAGTAGTGACTTTGGAGTCGACTCAAAGACAACCTGGAACATGATCACACACAGAGGGCTTACCAGAACGGGCACCATGCGGGATGACTTGGCTATGGTTTGCAGAGGGAAGCTCACGTACTTGAGAGCCTTTAGGGATCCAGGGCGGGGTTGGGAGGGACGGGTAGTGTGCGTTTGGGGTGGGTTTGGGGTGAGAGAGGGAGGAAGCTCAGGGACGGCAATGTTGAAATGATTCGCAAACAAAGAGGAAGGGGAAACAGCTGCTAATATGGCATTTCTCATGCACCGCACCGCACAGCACGGCCATATTCAACAACAATCCGCCACAATAGCAGCAATTAATGCAAATTTCATTCACTACAGCGCGAGCTGTACCTCGCATTGGCATCCGAAGGAAATGAGAACCAAGAGGGACACAGCGCCATATGAGGCGCTACAAAAGAAAAGCCAATGCAGCGATCAATGCAGCAGCGCCCCTCGTATTGGCACCCAGAAGAAATGACCTTGGATTGGAGAACGACGCGGCGCCATTTGAGGCGCCTCAAAAGCCAATACAGCGATCATTGCAGCGCGCTGCGTACCTCGTACTGGCACCCGGACGAGATGACATTGGAGAGCGACACAGCGCCATAGGCGTAAATTGGAGCCACTAGAGCCAACGACGCTCCTGTCACCTGGATGTGTATGGTTGGGGATGGAACGCAATGTGGGGTTTGTGCAGTATGTGGAATGCACTGTACATTTAGTGGACAGGACTGTACAGTGGATGATTATGATGGATGGAGCACACGTTTTGATCATGAGCTCAATAGTGTACATTGCACAGTATCTACATCGTTTTGTAAGTTGGTGGGTGGGGTCATCAGAGTACTGAGTTGAACACTGACTTACGTACCAACCTTAACTTACCAAGCACTGACTCACCAGGTGCACGATGACTGCCACAGCGCACGTCATGAGGCGGTTGCAGAGCACGATGAAGAGTAAGAGTAAGATGCTAGAGTAGAGGAGACTCAAAGGCTCTCACTGACTCACCAGGTGCACGATGACTGCCACAGCACACGTCATGAGGCGGTTACAGAGCACGATGAAGAGCGGTGCATGTTAAAGAGTCGAATCAAAGGGCTCTGGCTGACTCACCAGGTGCACGATGACTGCGACAGCGCACGTCATGAGTCGGTTACAGAGCACGATGAAGAGCGAGTGCTGGAAGTACTCCGAGTCCTCGTCCCTGTCACCGTACGGGAACTTCATTATCCGCTCCTGCGATACAAGCAACAGATTCAACAGATTCAACAGATGCAAACCACCATCATCACATATGAGCTGGCACAGCAGGAGCATGGAAAAGGACCCTCCACAGAACTCTGGGCTAAAGGCGACGGGATGGGATGGTGGTGGATAGGATTGCAGCCCAGACGAATGACTTCCCAAGACTAGCATACGCACCACGCTGGCGTCCAGGTTGGCTTTGAGACGTCGCAGAACCAACCTCTTATCACGTGACGGTGGTGGCCCGGAGCCCAGACAAATTACTTTCCAAGACGAGCGTGCGCACCACGTCTGTTTCCAGCTCGCATTGCCTTTATCACCTTTGCTGGGTCGCTTTACCTAGCTCGAAGCCACGAAGGGGATCCAGTCCAGTGTCGCAACGACACTACTGGCCAATGCTGTCGACTATGTGCGTGCCAATGACTGGGTCACATTGCCTTATCAGCTTTGCTAGGTTACCTCACAGAACTCGAAGCCACGTGAAGGCCATCAGTGTCACAGCGACGCACGCCAATGACTGGGTCGCATTGCCTTACCATCTTCGACAGGTTGCATTGTTTTATCAGCTTCCTTAGGCCGCAATTCCGTATACCTTCGCTAGGTCGCTTTATCCATTCTTTGTCGCAGCGACGCACCTGGGCCAATGCCGTAGACGTTGAGCGTACCCACCACGCCAATTTGGGTCACATTGCCTGATCAGCTTTCCTAGGTCGCATTTCTGTATCACCTTCGCTACGTCTATTTATCAATAATTTGTCGCAGCGACGCACCTGGCCAATGCCGTAGATGATGAGCGTGCCAACCACGCCGATGAAGCACCATATCAGCTTCGCCAGGTCGCCTTTCGCCGCAGCTTTCCTCCGGTTCATCGAACTCGACCTACAATTAACGAAATTCGCGAAAGGGAAGGGTCGTTCTCGTCGTTTTTTTCAAACGCGATGGGAAGACTGCACCTTGAAGCGTGAGGGAACACTCGAATTGACGTTACTAGACCAGATTGCAAACAGCAGGTGATGACACAAGAGTCAAAGCTACGTGGCCACGCGGAGTGACGTGCGGTCATAGGACGGAGATCGCGATGACGAATAAAATGGCGTGCGGACGTATACGAGCAACAGGGTGTGCGTTAAAGACCATGTTCACCTGCCATAGTCGAGCGTTCTAGAATGCGGTGCTGTCTCCTGCGTCGAAGATGCCATGATGACGCTACAGGCCCAAGCAGGACCCGACCGCAGCCAATGGTATGTGATGTGACATCAGCAATACGATATTACGGTTGCAACTGAAACGAGCTATCCTTCAAACGGCAAGTCGCCTTACAGGTGCTAAACGCGATTTCGCCGTGAACAGGTTTCGACTTATTATTGTTTCCTAAGACGAATCCTGCTGGTTAGGAACGAAGAATTTAGTTGTTGACGACAGGTAGGTGGCTGGGTTGATAGAGAGAACTACACTGTACTGTAATCATGGGCAGAACGGAATGCATTCGCAGCCTATCATGGGTGTGTTGCTCGCTTCATTTCGCCCGGTCTGGTTACCTTGTGATGAGAAGAGGGATGGGTGGGGGAGGAGGAAAGGGAGGCAGGGAAGGTATTGTGTGCGCCAAGGCTGACTGGGGGAGGTAGTTCTCCGGAGGAGGCACAAACCGTAAGGGAACATTTATGTGTGGACACAAGTGTCTCAATGTTACGGGTGCAATGTTACGCCGTATGATTGTTTGTTCAAGCTTTCAAGTACAGATGGAGCTCACCGCCTTTCAGCCGCCATGGCCATGGCCAGACGCTTTAGAGCGTATTTCTACGGCCTCATATCAGGCCACCTCGTATCAAGATTGTACCTTTTTCCTGGTAAAAATAGCGAAAGGTTTTAGGTTTAGGTGAATTTTCAGTAGGAGCTTGATATGAGGTTCTCTTGATACGAGGATAGGAATACGCTCTTAGATAGCTCAATGTGTATCAATTTCTTGGCTAAAACTTGTTACAATCCCGAGTGGGACTTAGCAAAGGATCGCTCAGGGTTTATCGCAGAGTTGTATTGCAGCGGAAGTAGTGAACTCAGGTCAGAGTGAATGTAAATGACTGAGATTGATAATAGCATGCATACATAGAGTTTATATAAGAATACAAGGGAATACGAAAAGACCTAGACTAGCCATGTACTCTAAGGGGTACATTCCCTTATTGCAGCGAATTCAAACCGTGCGGCGCGGAAACCCGTTTCAAACCTGTTCCCGCTCTTTTCATTTCAAATGTTTCTGCCTGCATCGGTCTTGGTCAGACGGTTGCTGCGTCGCTTCGACCCTTCTGACTCCTCGACTTCGTACTCGGTAGAGTCGGCTCCTGTAGCATACAGGAATGCCTTCTCACACAACTTCATATCGTAAAACTCCCCTTCATTCATGGGCGCGGGAGGAGCTGACTCGCTTGACTACTCCGGTGAGGTCAGAGCAGTGCTTGTACTGCTGACGTGGCAGTCGCTTGGTGAGGAAGTCTGCTGCCATCTCGGTGGTTGGGCAGTACGCGAGGTCAACTTTCCCCTGGTCAATTTCGTCCTTGACGAAAAAGTACCGAAGCGCGATGTGCTTCGTGCGGTTCACGAAACCTGGCTTGTTCGCGATTCTGATGGCACTCTGGTTGTCGCAGTGAAGGCGAAAGGTGGGCGAAGTTGGGATTTTCGCCTCCTGCAGCAGCTCCTGCAGGTACAGGCCTTCGCGAACTGCTGCTGTCGCGGCGATGTATTCTACTTCAGCCGATGACAGGGCAACCAGCTCCTGCTTCTGTGAGTTCCAGGAGATTAGCCCAGTTGGTTCTAGGCGAAAAACGAAGCCGGTTCGGGACCGTCGATTCGCAGGATCAGCGGCATGGTCTGCGTCCACGTAGCCGTTGAGGTTGAAGGAGGTCGTCGTCAGTGTGGAGTAGGAGAGCCCGATGTCAGGTGTGGAGATAAAATACTGCAGGGCGCGCTCCAGGTCCAGCTGGTTCTCAACCTCTGGCTTTCGTGAATACTGCGCCAGTTGGCTGGCGATGTCCGAAAGGTCGGGTCGGCATGTGACAGATGCGAACAGCAGGCAACCCAGTTGCTGCTGGTACAGTTGAAGTCCCGCAGGGGATAGAGGTTTGTTGTCCAGTTTGTAGTTGGAGCTGGGGTTGCGGTAAGGAGTTGAGAGTGGTGCGGATGAAATGTTGAAGCGTTCCCCCAGCTGTTCTGCGTACTTGGAGGCTGACAGATGAATTGCTTCTGACGCGTAGGTAATGTTCAGCCCCAGAAACTGCTTCACGTTGTGGTTGATGGTGATGTCAACGCGCTGCGCCAGGTTCTTCTCAAACTGGTTAAGGAGTTTGTTGCAGGTGCCTGTGTACAGCAGGTCGTCGACGTAGACTGGCAGGAGAATGTATTCGTCGCTAAAGTGAAGGCGGTACATTCCCGGGTCGTGCGGCAGCTGCCTGAAGCCGATTTCCAGGAGAATTTTGTGCAGATGCTGCTGCCAGAGACGAGGCGCCTGCTTGATCCCGTAGAGGGATTTTTTCAGGTGACAGACTCTGGGGTCTCCTTCTCCGTAGGTGTGAGGTTGTTCCACGAAGATGGTTGCGTCCACTAGCGCGTATAGGAACGCGTTCTTCACGTCGATCTGTCGCAGTGGCAGATGCTTAGCGGCGGCAATAGCGAGTAGAATCCTGACGGAGGTGTGACGGCTGACGGGCGCGAAGGTTTGATCGAAGTTGATGCCGTGACGTTGGTCGTACCCGCGTACGACCCAGCGTGCCTTGAAGCGCTCAATGGTTCCGTCAGCGTTGGTCTTGAGGCGAAAGACCCATTTTCCGCTGAGCACCCTCCTCCCCTTCACTGCTGCACGATCGACTAGGACCCATGTGTCTCGAGATTCCAGCGCCTTTAGCTCCGCATCCATCGCGGCACGCCACTCCTTGGCGTGAGGGCCGGTGAGAGCCTGGTGCGGGTTTTTGGGTTCGATAGCGCGCGCGAGAGTAGTGACAGAAGTGTGCAGGCCGAGTAGTTGTAGGCCGGAGACGTTGGTAGTGGTGTCTGTGGTGACTTCCACCACATCATCATCGCTGCTCTCGTAGCCGGGTGAGGTGGTGCTTGGTTCGGCTTGGCGCTGCGATGGCCCTGGCGCGGGAGCGTCGTCGCTGTCACCGTCGTCGTCGTCGTCGTTGCGTGAGCGAGGCGGTACGCTCGGGTGTTCGTCGGTGTCATCGCGGTCCAGTGCCGCTGCTGCCGCTTCGTCCTCTGGAGACGCGAAGCTGCGGCCGCTGTTGACGTAGCCGCGTGCCTCATTGCGACGTTCGTCCTCGATCCACTACTTCAAGGTAAGCCGCTCGTAGAAGAGGACATCACGTGCGGGAACAACCTCCTTGCTGTCGATGTCTAGAATGAGCCACCCCTTGTACTCATTGTTGAGACCCAAATGAATTCCCCAGCGCGCACGATGAGCGAACTTGCCGATTGTGGCTGAGGTCGGCCGATATTGAACCATGCACCCCCAAACCCTCAGCATGGAGGGATCTCCCCTTGAGCCGGTCCACTTCATGTGAGGAGAGAGGTTGTCCCTGTTGGCTGTGGTGGAGAGAAGGTTGTGCAGGCGCACCGCGTGGTTCATGGCGTAGGGCCAAAACTTCTTGGGTATGCCGGACTGGTTCATGAGGGCGCGAACTTTCGTCATGAGGGTGCGATTAACCCTCTCTGCGACGCCTTGCTGCTGGTGAGCGTAGGGGAGAGAGATCTCATGCTTGATCCCCTTCTCAGTGAGGACGCTCTCCAATTCGCGGCTGCGAAATTCCTTAGCTCCGTCGCTCTGCCAGATCTTCAGCTTCCTCCCCGATTGCCGTTGCGCGTGTGCAAGCCAGATGCGAAAGACTTTTGGAGCCTTGGAGCGAGCGTCGACGTTGGCGATCCAGACGTGACGCGAGTAGGCGTCAATGAAGGTGAGGGTGTATTTTCACCATTGATGCCATCGAAGGTGAGGACGATGAAGTCGCTGTACCCCCTTTCCAGCTTCTTATAACCATTGGTGCTTGGTTCCAGAGAGGGGTAGGCGCTGTGAGTGAGCGCGGCTGTGGGGCAGACGGTGCAGGTGATCGGGTGTGAGGTGTTGTGTGGTTCTGTGCCATCAGGACGCAGTAATGCTCCTGGAGGAAAAAATTTGGCGCGAAGACAGTTGGCGAGAGTCTGGCGCGAGGGGTGACCGAGCCGCTGGTGCCAGAGGTCGTCTTCAGTGCGAATGCCGGAGGTACGCTTATAGCGAGCGTAATGTTCTGCTGCTTCTGCCTCTGTCTTATAGCGAGCGTAATGTTCTGCTGCTTCTGCCTCCGTTTCTTGCGGAATCTAGAGTGGGGGTTCTTCCTCTTCTCCTGGTTCTGCTTTGTTGTCCGGCTCCTCTGCTTCTGCTTCTGTTGCTGTCTCCCCTTCTGCAGGTTCCGTTGAAAGGTAGAGGGCGAGAAGGTCACGGTCGGGGATGATGTTGAGCGGCGTCCTGGTACCTTCGATGAAGCGAGCAAATGGATCTGGGCGGGAGATTGGACCAAGTGAGTCACGCGGAGGAGTTGGTGGTACATTCCCCTCCTCAATCTCCGACTAGGGATCGTCCCATCGATAAGGTGAACGAGGAGGTGAGCGTGCACGTGGGGGTCGTCCGAGCGGGATGGTAACTCGGGGAGATTGCTCTCCGCGCTCAGCTTTCATTTCTCGTTCAGCTTCCTCCAATTCCTCTTGCGTAAGCTCGCCTTCGTCGGGTTCGGTATTTCCCCATCCTCCCGTGGTAACCATGCCGCTGGCGCTGGGTCCCCATCCTTGAACGGTGCCCGAAGCGCCAGTAGCGGATCCCCAGGTCGCGCCTTCTTCTGGTACGTAATCA